AAATAAGAAACATAAAGGAACTTATACCAGGTATATCATAACCTAGCTGTTCATAATGACTGGTAAAGTATAAAATCTTAAAAGTAGCCAGAGACAGGAGACACTATGTGGAGACCTGATGGTAAATAAAACAGAGATTTCTCATTGGAAAGAGTAAAAGCAAGAAAACAATACATTGAAACAATGTATTTAAAGAAAGAACTGTCAACTGATAATTTGAAATATTATAGCTTTTGAAAACAAAGGCAACATATATATACTTTTGCATATATACAAAGGCTGAAATAATTCATCACAAGCATAACTGCACTACAAAAATGTTCAAGGAAGTCCTTGTGACAGAAAGAAAATGATACCAGATGGATACATGAATTTACACAAAAGAATGAAGAACACCAGAAATGGTTAACTATGTGAGTTAATATATTTGTTATTATTATTACATCACTTTAACAATGTACTGTTTAAACAAAAATAATAATAACAATGTAGTGTGGGGTTATATGTAAGAGCAAAACATGTGACAAGAATAGCACAGAGGTTGAGGGAGGAAACATGGAAATATGTTAGTGTAAGTCTCAAACAATAAAGGACAAGGTATACTATTAGTTGAATGTAGTCTGTGATGAGTAAAACATGTATACTATAAATCCTAAAATAATAAAGCAAAGATTTATAGCTAATAAGCCAACCAAGGTCATTAAATGGAATCAAAAAATTTGTTCAATTAATCCAAAAGAAGATAAAAATATGAAGAGAAAGAAAACAAAAACAACAAAAAAGATGAAATAAATAAAAATTAAATAGAAAAAAGCTAGATTTAAACCTAACCATATCAATAAACACATTAAATATAAATCGTCTAAATATTCTAATTAGAAAGTAATTTTCTATAGCATTATAAAGTATAATTAGCAATAATTTATTGTATATTTTCAAATAGCTAAAAGAGCAGATTTTGAATATTTCCAATACAAATAAGTGCTAAATGTTTGAAGTGATGAATATGCTAATTACCCTAATATTGACAGTTACATATTGTATACATGTATCAAAATATCACACTGTATCTCATATGTATAATTATTATATGTCAATTAAAAATACCAAAAGCAGAAAGATTAAAAAGTCAGAGATTATTAGATTGGATAAAAAAGCAAAACTCAACTATATGTTTCCCACAAAAATAAATATGCATGAGAAAAACCTTTGTAACTTGGGCTAGTCAAAAATTTTTTTCTTTTAGGTACAATATGAACAGTATAACCTATAACATATGAAATTGATAGACTTCACAAAAATTAAAAACATATGCCCTTCACTTGATCTTAGCCAAAAGGCCGAGAAGCGATATATGCTCTTTAAATAACACTGTTGTGAGAATGAAAAGACAAGCCAACACTAGCAGAATATGTTGTAAATTATAAAATCAAATAAAGGCTTCATATCTAGAATATAGAAGGAATTGTGAAAACTCAATAACAAGAAAACAACCTAATACAAAAGTAGGCAGAAAATTAGAACAGAAACTTCAACAAGGAAGATATATGAATGATAAAGGAGCACATGAAAAGATGCTTGGCCGGGCGTTGTGGCTCATGCCTGTAACCCCAGCACTTTGGGAGGCCAAGGCGGGTGGATCACGAGGTCAGGAGATCGAGACCATCCTGGTCAACAAGGTGAAACCCTGCCTCTACTAAAAATACAAAAATTAGCTGGGCATGGTGGCACGCGCCTGTAGTCCCAACTACTTGGGAGGCTGAGGCAGGAGAATTGCTTGAACCCAGGAGACAGAGGTTGCAGTGAGCCGAGATCGAGCCATTGGACTCCAGCCTGGGTAACAAGAGTGAAACACCATCTCAAAAAAAAAAAGAAAAGAAAAGATGCTCAACATCATTCGTCATTAGGGAAACGCAAATTAAATTAAAACTGCAAGATACAACTACACATCTATTAGAATGAATACAATTAAAAAGTCTAACTAAACTAAGGATTTGGAGCAAGTGTAATTCTCATATACTGTTGCTGAGAATGTAAAGTGATACTACTTTGGAATAAAACTGTTTGACAGTTTTCTGAAAAGTTACACATACAGTTAATATATGATCCACTCTCAGGTTTTTACCAAAGATCAACGAAAGTCTATGCCCATGCAGACTTGTAACAGTTTCTTTTCTTTTTTCTTTTTTTTTTTGAGAGGAAACTTGCTCTGTGGCCCAGGTTGGAGTGCAGTGGTGTGATCTTTGTTCACTGCCACATCTGTCTCCTGGTTTAAAGTGATTCTCCTGCCTCAGCCTCCCGAGTAGCTAGGATTACAGGTATGTGCCACCACACCTGGCTAATTTTTGTATTCTTAGTAGAGATGGGGTTTTACCATGTTGGCTAGGCTTGTCTCCAACTCCTAGGCTCGTGATCCCCCCAAAAGCCCAGGGTAAAATAACACAAAAATCCACAGACAGTAACTGAATAAACACATTGTGGCAAATCCATACAATTTGATGGTACTTCAGTAATAAAAAGGAGCTAACTGCTGATTCAACAACATGGATATATGTTAAAATAATTATGCTGATTGAGACATACCAGATAAAAAAGAATATATACTGTAGGATTCCACTGATATGAAACTCCAGAAAATGCAAACTTATCCGTAGAGGCAAAAAGCAGATAAGTGACTACCCTTGAGATGGGGGAAGTAAGTCAGTAAAGGGGTCAGAGAAAAGGATTATAAGGCAGCAAAAGAGAACTTTTGTTTATTAAGGTATTGGTTTCATGGGTGTATATGTATGTCAAAATGGATACAATTGTATACTGTAGTGTGTAGTTTATTATATGTAAGTTATATCTCATAGAGCTGTTACAAACAAGGATAGGATCATTGTCCATAAGGCATTTAAAAGTTAATTATTGAAAGAAAACATACATACAAAATTACTTCAATGAATAAGAAGATAATATATAAGTGTTTTGTACAAAATACATGAGAAGTAGAGACCAGTGATTCTAAAACTTTGATATGCATCAGAATCACCTGGAGGGAGTATTAAAACATAGATTGTTGGGCCCAATGCCCAGAGCTTTCTGATTCAGTAGGTCTGGGATGGGGCTCAAGGATTTGCATTTCCAGCAGGCTCTCTGTTAATGCTGATGGTGCTGGTCCCGACCACACTTTTAGAATCACTGATATGTAAGAGAATAGGACAATACAGAATAAAGGGCCAATTTAGAAAAGGGAGAAATTACAGCATTTCTTGAAAAGCTTTTTTTTTTCCTTAAGTTCACAATGAAACAGAATTCAAGTGAATAAAATTTTATTTTATTCTCAGAATTTCTTTCCTTCAAAATTTTACTATGTTCCTACTGAAAATTCCACGCTTTGCAAGTAGATCTCATACTACCTAGTTGCAGAAGCCACTGGTTTAATGACAGTCAATATCCTCTTAGAGAGCAATTAAATATCAAACCAGTGAGTAAATTAAGAATAGGGCGAGGGTATATTTCAATTAGCCAAATCTTTTATTCCCACTTTCTGCCGTATTTCAATTCTTCTCCTATACCCTTTTGAGAAACGGTTGTTATTGTAGGTTTAAAATAAATAAAAATAATTTCTCTTTCTCAGGAGTCACAGGCTTTGTTCTTTGCTATTCCTTCTCCAAGACTTTTTCTCCTACCTGCTCACTTTCATCTGCCTAATTCTAATTTGTCTTTTAAGCCTAGGATAGACAGCACTTATGTGCAGAACTTTTCTGGGCACACTTCACGCTCACTCTGCTGCACAGAAGCTCCTCCTCTGTGTTCCTTGTCACTACAGCCTCTGCCATCTTGCACTAAATCATCTTATCATGCTCATCCCATTTTTTTCTGCTTCTTAAATAATGTATTTCTCTTTAACTTAATGAAATTGCATTTGACGCATCCTAGCTTTTTTGATCCCCTCTGAGTTACAGAGTGTTAGAGATAGAGGAGGAGGGAGTCAAGAGGTCACAAAATCTAGAATCATAAAACTGGAGAGACAGAACATGGGATGAAATTGTAAATATACAACATATACTTGCATACAGGCACATACAAACATTTTGGGGGTTGTTAATGACTTCCCTAAGGATAGTAATTTCAAGTGGCACCAATCTTTAACCCAGACTGAATCATGGGACAAATCAAGTTTCCCAATTCCTACTCATGCATTTGACATATTTATGGTCTGCTTTTATAGCTTTTGATCACAATTTCCTAGGAGGCAGCTGGTCCCTAAATCAACATCTAAAAAAAAAAAAAAAAAAGAACAGCCAAAGTCCAGTCCTGTTAACAAAATTACCTATTGAGGAGGTCAGTGCTGTTTGAAACACATATAAAACATGAGAGTGATTTTTTAAATGTCTGCTATTGGATGAAGGTTACATTTAAAGATTCCAATTGTACTTTTATATGATGCTATACTTCTGTGGTAGTGCTTTGCCCAAAATAAAGGTTTAAGGAAATAAAAATAACAAAAATGATACAGAAAAACAAAACAAAACAAAACCAAACCACTTTTCCGAAAATTTTCATTTCAACCAGAAGCAAACATGTTATAAGATGGCAAAGCAGAGTTAGGAACAACTTAGTGTTTCTCTCAGGAATAACTGTGATCTTCCACACTTAGGGGTTGATGGTCAGGGGTAACTTAGATCAACTCAAGAAGGAAGCATCTGGGTCTGTCCACCTAAGGAGATGCTGCTCAGAGACCCAGCACCTAGGGAGAACACCCCAGGTTCTCTGGGGAGGTCAAGAGTTTGGGATTCAGTATCATACTGAAGAAGCTCAGCAAGCAAAGTAGCTGATCTAGGATGCAGGCTTCTGACTTCCAGATTCTACTATCATCATCAGAGGCCCAAAATTGGGGCCCACACCCAAAGAGTATAATGATTCCCAGCCTTTAGCACAACATAAACTGACCAGGAAAGAAAGGCCTTTATTCCTCTGATTCCCCGCCCCCCCCCAAAAAAAAATGATACTTTCACCTTGTTCTCTTTCTCAGTGGATCTATATTTTCATGAATGAAGAAAAGAAAAATATTGAACTCTCCGACTAGGAAGGTTTCTTATAAGAAGGTTCCAATAGCCTTCAATTTTTTAAAGCTATGCAGAAAAACAAAATTTACCACAAAGGAATAAAGAGCACTAACCAAAGAAATTTCACTCTCATAGATTTTGTAGCACCTCAGAACTTCCTTTGGAAGGGAAGGACAAAGCGGCCATTTGCTCAGCTTAGATCATTTGGATTGAGACTCATATGTTATTTTAAATGAACATTGCTCAGGTAGTTAAGCCTTAAAAATCAACCATCCTTGACAATTGTCCAATTTTTTTTTTTTAAAGTCTTACCTTAAGGGTTTCAGAAACACATTTACAAAGTATGCTGTAGTGGGAACTAGTCAAGTTTCCTAGCTGGTTTCATAGCACAACTGGGACTGCTGGTCTTTGTTCATTTTTGTCTTTGAAAACTTTGTTACAATTAGAAGAGGGAAAAGTAGTAAATTTTAAAAGTAGTAAACTACAGTTGTTTAGCACTTGGAACGATACAAAATTCCAATGCAATCCAACAGAACATTTAATTTCCGAGATTTTACTTTCACCCCTTGACTTATAAGGTTAAGAAGGAAAGTACTGAATTTCTCTCGTGACATTAGAACTGTTTCTTACAACGGCATTCCTTTTGAGAAATTAGAACTGAAGTTTTCTTTGCATTCTCTATGTGCTGAGTTCCTATATTGGATAATATTAGCATCTTTTATATCCATACCTAATATAACATTCCTTTTTCCTATATTGTACAAGTTCCAGAGTCTTAACGCTTTATAGTAGTGCCAACAAAAATGTTTAAGGAAAGGCCATCCAAAAGCAGACATGACATTTTGCAGAGTCTTCAGTTTATCTTTAGAATGTATAATTATAAACTGTTCTTGAAATAAGCTGCCCAGATATTTGTGTTAACACAGAAATTCTGTTACCATTAGTTCTTGCTCAGGAAATGCAAATATTGTGAACATGCTGTTTAACGGCAGCAAATATCATGTCTCCCATTTTTATGAAAAGTAATATTGTAAAACATGCTATCAAGTAATCAACATATTTATTAAACAGTTCTCCATACAAGCCATGTACATACATATGCACATTTTATTGGACAGTGTAGTAAGTAACCACAGTTGAAGTGTTCATATCCAGTATGAGACATATGTACATACTGTATATGGTACAAATATAGCAATACAATGACATTTTAAAGATTGCTTTTATTGTTATTGAAATATGTATGTTCTTATCAATATTGAAATATGTATTTTTTAGGGGAAAGCAACAAGCATGCACATTTGTTTCTGCTGAAGACCTACCTTTTTAAAATAACCATATTAAAATCATAAATACTAGCTCTCCGATGTAGAAATATCTGTATCTCACGACATCTTTATATTTCTTTCTTTTTATTTATTTATTTATTTTTTTGAGATAGGGTCTCACTCCATCACTCAGGCTAGAGTGCAATGGTGTGACCTCAGCTCATTGCAGTCTTGACCTCCTAAGCTCAGGTGCTCCTCCCATCTAAGCCTCCTGGGTAGCTGGGACTGCAGGGGCTTACCACCACACCCGGCTAATCTATCTTTTAAAGGAGCTTTAGATATGTCCACAATTCTTCCTCCAGGTGGCTTTTCTTACAGTCTTCAAACTCTGGCATCTGTGATTAGATATTCTTTCATTTTGTGATGTGGGTTTTCAAACTTAAAAAGAGACTATAAAGTAATCTCTCTTCTTTATTTTTTGCTACATAGACAGTTTTTAACCTTAAATATTTTACATTTCCCCAATTACAAGTTTCTGTCATTTTCTTCATCCGTGTTCAAACTGTGAAATGAGGAAAAGAGATATTTGGTTTTAAAAAAATAAAATGATGAAACTTTGTGATACTGATGTTCTTCTTCAAAGGCCTTTGAGTCTTCTGTTTCAGTATGTATGCAACATGCATGCTGATATGGTCTCAGGAAGTATATTAGCTGTAACCATTTTTGCACTGTGCGTATGGGAAAACTGAGGCACAGAACAAAACCACTTGTCCAACATCTTGTAAAAACTGTAAGTATACACAGAAACTAATTGAGAGGGAAACCTACTTTCATTCAAGTCACTTATCAAAAGAATTCTCCTTTCGCTTTGATAATATGTTTCTAACCTTTCATTTTTACACAGCCAAATTCTCAGCCACGACCGGAAATTCGATCCAAATGTCATTAAGTAACAATTTTAAAGTTTGGGCACGAATTTCATATATTTATGAAGAAAGGTTTCTCTAAGTAAATGAATAGTGAAACAAATTTGCATAGGGGATATTTAACTACTTAAGATAAAATATCTCTATGGGGCCCTGTTAATTTGGAAGCAACTATTTCACTGCAGAAAAATTGATAAACAAATCATTCTTAAATTGGTAAGAAAAGAGACTCTAAGCACCTTTATTAGCATGCTCTGTAAGTCCAAGTCCAATTCCGTTTATTTGACACATTTATTTTATTTACTGTTGTCTCTCCCCTACCTCTTCACTATACTGTAATTTCCATGGTGGTAAGATTATTTTTTCTTATCAGTGTAAAAATTTTATTTTCTAAATTATAATACAGCATAAACAACACTAGTTTTGGTGTACAGCCCTGTGAATCTTAGCACATGAATAGATTAATGTAAATATTATAAGAATCAAGATACAAAACAATTCCCTGCCCTACAGAATTCCTACTAGCAATCCCTTTATAGGCAAACCACCTGTCACTCCTAACTCCTGGCAACCACTGATCTGTCTCCAGCACTACAATTCTATCTTTTTGCGAATAACATAAAATGGAATACTACAGTATGTCACTTTTTGAGTCTGCCTCTCACTAAGCATGAAGATTTGTCTAAACTGTTGTGTGTATTGATAGTTTTTTTCTTTTCTTTTCTTTTCTTTTTTTTTTTTGAGACAAAGTTTCGCTCCTGTTGCCCAGGTTGGGGTGTGAAGGCACAATCTCTGCTCACTGCAATCTCCATCTCCCAGTTCAAGTGATTCTCCTGTCTCAGCCCCCCAAGTAGCTCGGATTACAGGTATGCACCCCTGGCTAAGTTTTTGAATTTAGTAGAGATGGGGTTTTACCATGTTAGTCAGGCTGGTCACAAACTCCTGACCTCAGGTGATCTACCTGCCTCAGCCTCCCAAAGTGCTGGGATCACAGGCGTGCACCACTGTGCCTGATTGACAGTTTGTTCTTCATTATTGCTGAGTAGTGTTTCATCGTATGAATGCACCACAGTTTATCTATCCATTCGCTTTTGAAGGACATTCACATTGTTCACAGTTTTGGACAATTGCAAATAGCACTGCTATAAACAATTATATACTGATTTTTATGGATCATATATTTTTTATTTCTCAAATGTAAATATCTAGGAGTGGGATTTCTATATCCTATAGTAGGTCATGTTTAACTTTATTTAAAAATGGCTAAATTGTTTTCCAGAGTAGCTGTTTCATTTTGCATTTTTATCAGCAGTCTGTGCAAGTTTCAGCTCCTCTACATTCTTATCAGCACTTGGTACTGTCACACTTTTAAAAATTAGCCATTCCAGGCCAAGTACAGTGGCTCATGCCTGTAATCCCAGCACTAGGAAGGCAGGTGGATCACGAGGTCAAGAGATTGAGACCATCCTGGCCTGCATGGTGAAACCCCGTTTCTACTAAAAATACAAAAATTAGCTGGGCGTGACGGCAGGTGCCTGTAGTCCCAGTTACTTGGGAGGTTGAGGCAGGAGAATTGCTTGAACCTGGGAGATGGAGGTTGCAGTGAGCCAAGATTGTGCCACTGCATTCCAGCCTGGGCAACAGGGCAAGACTCTGTCTCAAAAAAAAAAAAAAAATAGCCATTTTAGTGATATGCCATAAATTTCAATATTTTATTATGCATTTTCCCATAACTAATGGTATTGAACATTTTTTCATGTGTTTATATGCATTCCATGTTTCCTTTCTTGAAATGTCCAAGTCATTTGCACGTTTTTAAATTAGGTTGTTAGTTTTCTTACTCCTCAGTCTTGCAAATTCCTTATTTACTCTTGTTATAAGAACTTTGTCTGCTATGTGCTTTGCAAATATTTCCTTCCAGCAAGGGAACTGTTCTTTCATTTTCTTAATGGTGAGAGTGCAAACATTTTAAATTTTGATGAAGACCAATTTAGCAATTTTTGTTTTATGGATTATATCTTTAGTGTCACGTTTAAGAACTTTTTACCTAACCCTAGATAATGATAATTTTCTCTTATGTTTTGTTCTAAAAGTTTTATAGTTTTATGTTTTACTTCTAGGTTTTTGTTCACTTTTGAGTTAATTTTTCTACAAGATGTGAGGTTTAGGTGAAGTTTTAATTTTTAAATTTTTTTTTTTTTTTTTGCCTACTGATATTCAGTTGTTTCAACATCATTTGCTGAAAGGACAAAATTGCTTTTGTATCATTGTCAAGAACCAACTGATCATATTTATGTGAGTTTGTTTCTGGATTCTTGTTATCATCCATTGGTAATTGTCTATTTCAATGCCACACTGTCTTGATTAGTACAGCTATTCAGTAAGTCTTAAAATCAGAAAGTATGATTCTTCTAAGCTTATTCTTTTTCACAATCAGTTCAGTTGTGCTGGTTCTCTTGCCTTTCCATAAAAGCTCTAGAATCAGCTTGTCTATGTCCATAAGAAAATCCTCCTTGGAATTTTATAGAAATTTCATTAAATCTATTATCACATTAGGGAGAATCAACATCTTTACTTTGTTGAATCTTCTGATTCATGAACATAGACTATGTCTCAATTTATTTAGATCTTCTGTGATTTATTGCATCAGTATTTGTAGTTTTCAGCAATAGATCCTAGAAATATTAAATTTATATCTATAAATTTCATTTTTGGAGCTATAATTTTTTTTTTATTTTTAAAGTGCACTTTCCAATTGTACATTGCTAGTATATAGAAATGCAATGATTTTTGTATGCTAACCTTGTAACCTGAAAAGTTGCTTTATGGCTAAGAGTTTTTTGTAATTTTCTTGGGATTTTCTACCTAGAAA